CAACAGGGAATGAAGATTCAGGAGACCTGAGGGCATATACCAGTTCTGCCACCAAAGAAGCTGTGACATCAGGCAAGTCATTCACTTGCTTTCAGCCCTTATTTGGGTACTTTAAAAGTATTAGCTATGTATGTATACATTTAAGGAAAACAGTATTTCAAATAAAATCTTCCCTGGAAGCTCAAAATGTAAAGAGGAAAACAAAGTTGAGCTGGTCTGGATGAGGACTAAATGGAACCCTAGAGCCCTGCCCAAATAACTCACGCGGGGGTGGTGGGGGGTGGAGAGCAGAGTCCATAGGTCTCTCAATATAATACTGAAAACCACTGGAGTAGATCAGTGGCTGCCACACTCGCTCTTCAATTTCATGGATCAGAAAAAGCTCAAAAAAGATTTTAAAGGGGTGAAATGGGTTTTTACTTTGCCAAATAATAAGACTTTTTAAAAGTTATCAGTATTATTTCCTAAATGAAAGGATATTTTAACACCGAAAAAGTAGGAAGAACAAAATATCAAACGAATAAAGTTAGCTTTGCTTTATGAAACTACTGTTCGGTCAGAGAAAAAGTCATTGAAGACCAGTAGATTAGAGAGTCAATCCAGGGCATCTCTCAAGTCTATTAAGAGTTTTTCAAGTTTTTTTTTTTTTTTTTTTTTTTTGGTGTTTTGTGGGGTTTTTTTGGTCTGTTTGTTTGTTTTGTTTTGTTTGAGACAGCATCTCACTCTGTCACCCAGGCTGGACTGCAGTGGCATGATCTCAGCTCACTGCAGCCTCCACCTCCCAGGTTAAAGTGATTCTCCCACCTCAGCCTCCCAAGTATGCTGGGATTACAGACGCATACCACCACGCCCGGCTAATCTCTGTATTTTTAGTAGAGATAGGGTTTTGCCATGATGGCCAGGCTGGTCTTGAACCCCTCACCTCAGGTGATCCACCCGTCTCGGCCTCCCAAAGTGCTGGGATTACAGGCATGAGCCACTACACCCAGCCTAGAGTTTTAAAATTAAATAACTACTACTTCTTCAGACCTCCTATTCTGAGAGCTCTAACTTCAACACTACTTTTCTGTTAGTACAGAGATTACTTTAGGTATTCAAGAAACTGTTACCTAAAACCACTATTTGTTAAGTATAAATAAAAACACAATACAAACCAGAAAATAAAAACAAGTGAAAATGTACGACGTCTATAAAACTTCAACCTTGAAATGTATGGCATCATATTAATTTTCCCCATACCTAAAAACTACGAACTATAATCATCATTTTTAATACAGTCAAAGCAACTTTTAACTATTTTAAGTATTTGAGTTCTTTCCTACTCTTTGCTCCTTCATAGTCAGTGTTCAATTTCATCAGACTCAGACTTTTGTTTAATAAATCACACTTTTGGCCAGGTGCGGTGGCTCATGTCTGTAATCCCGGCACTTTAGGAGGCCGAGGCGGGTGGATCACGGGGTCAGGTGATCAAGACCATCCTGGCTAACACGGTGAAACTCTGTCTCTACTAAAAATACAAAAAATTAGCTGGGCGTGGTGGCGGGCGCCTGTAGTCCCAGCTACTCGGGAGGCTGAGGCAGGAGAATCGCTTGAACCTGGGAGGCGGAGGTTGCAGTGAGCCAAGATCGCACCACTGCACTCCAGCCTGGGTGACAGAGCAAGACTCCATCTTAATAAATAAACAAACAAACAAACAAATAAAAATCACACTTTCTTTTCAAAAGTAGCACAGTACTGAGATATTTCTGAGGATCTATTTCCCCAAGTTTTGGCACTGTTGTTCCTTTTCCTTACATTTCTACAAAATCATTCCAGCGACCAAGGACTCCTACTGGCACTTGCGACCCTCAAAGCAAAAGGAAATTTAGCTAGATAATGAGGTAAAGCTGTATTCCAGGATTATGTAACCTCCCTGAACCCAAAAAGCAATGTGGTCTATTGATCACTGCTACAAGTATTTTTCTGGATCTTAGTTTAAAATCTCTAGGTCATAAGAATATACGACATCTTGTTAGCTAACGTAAAAACAATTCTGTTGTGCAGTTCAAAGATTTCTCTGCTAAAGAAAGTTTTGATACCCAAAAGACCTATATTTCCCAAACCACTATTAGGTACCCAGCAAACCTTTGTAACAGTTTCAGCTCCGTATTTATCTTCCATTTCCAATTCTGCACATAACATAATCTAGGCAGAACTTAGGTCTATCTTTTAACACAAAGTCGTATCAGATTCCTGAGAGGTCCATTCCAACTTTAGTTTATCCTACTCACACTTTAAAGCAATTTTTCTTAGAAATACTTTCAATATGCCAGAGAAGAGATTACCAGTAATCATCATTTCTAAAATTGAAAATTCACATTATCATTAAGTTTTCTCTTTTCTGGGAAATAAAGATAATTCCATTAAACTTCACTCAAACACTCCCCCCCACCACACACACACACACACACACACACACACACACACACACACACACACAAAAATACTGTGTCCTTTATATCCTTCCTTGCATAATAAAATGATGTTTGCTGCACAAAACACAAAACAAGGTAGAAAGACAGCTATGTGAGTCCTCCCTTTCTTACACTTTCAGTTTCTACGCAGTGATTGCTTAAAATAGCTATAAACAGCTATGACTACATTTCCTGGTAAATTAAGTCTGCAAGTACCACCTTCTTTGACCATTAAAATGCCTTCTGGATATCTTGTAGGTTCAGGGATCAAAGGGATGCTCTAGCTGGAATCTGACTGAAGTGATTCAGAAGGCAACATCCTAAGTAACACAATGATTAGGTTTACATAAGAGGATCAACGAGAAGACAAAGTTTACTCAAAAACTAAGTCACATCTGTCATTTGAAGCACACACACTGAGAGAAACCTGATAATTTACATCATATTTCTCCTTACATATCACAGAAATTTGTGCCATCGTCCCTTTACCAAATGTTTCCAAATAATATCTTCTGGGTCAGCTTCCAAAAGGCACCTCAAAAGCCATGAGAGCCTTCATCCCCTGTCACTTTCATTTGAAAGGAAGCTAGGTGCAAAAGGTTGGTTTGAGCTCATTCCTTGGGCTCTGTCAGTCAGCCTGAACCTGTCATTGCTGGCAGTCCTCAGTGTCTTAAGGAATGTTTGAGTCCTGGCTGCAAACCAGCCACTGATCCCTCTGGTAATATCACTCTTACAAAAGGGCTGCCATCTCTGAGCACTCAGACAAGGGCTGTGAAATGGAGGTAGCTAAACTATTCAGAGCAATAATAAAACACAGCCTCTGTCTATTTAAAGCTCCTGGCTGAGCTGTAAAGCCATGTCAGCTCTTCTTTCTGTTCTTAGTCCGATCCTTAGTGGTTATACAGAAATGAGACCTTCTCTTGACAAGAAAAATCTTCTTCCTTTTTTAGATGTCAGGAAATAAACACACAGGACAAACACGGAAGGGGAGTGGGAAATGGAAGGGAGAGTCTGGCGTAAGGAGTTCACTTCAGAGATCAGTCCCCAGTGAAAATGCCTGATTCTCACGACTTTACCATTTTTTCATTTCCCCAGCAGACACAGTATTAAAACCAAATATACACATCAATTTATGGGGGAATAAAAGAAGAGGTTTCCAGGAGGATAGCTCAAGGGTGAGAGCAATTTCTTACAGCTTAAACCACCATGGAAAAAAAAAAATTGACCATACACCATCAGTAAGTATAAAAAATAAACCATATTTAGTGATATATACAAATATGCATGAATAAAAACAAAGGAAATACAGTAACAGGGCTTTCTTTGGCTCTAGATTATATCTTTCATCGTACATTTATACATGCAGAAATGAGAGCTTCTTAGTGAAATAAAATAGGTTTATTTTTATGCTGAACATGCAATATTCATAGATATCAAATGCTTTTATTAGATTTAAGATTTTCTTCTTAAATTTCAATCCTTCCCACTACAGCCTCTGAGATCTAGTGTCCCTGCCATGGTGGTTCATGCCTGCACTTTAAAGCATACACAGAAGCCACCACCTTAGTTAGCAGTCAGGCTGCACACACTGGAGCTCTCGTTTTCGGGCACCTTTGAAGACAGAGTGATATTTAATACTGAATATAAGCAGTCTTTTCATCTTATACTGTAGAATAATTGCTTCCCACTTCAGAACTATAGCATGAGTTATCATCTCTGACTTGCTCTCTAAGTGCTATGGCCAGCATGGAAAAAAAAAAAATGACAAAGAATATTAAGGGCCTCCTCAAGGGAGTTGGAGCTGTGCTAACTGCCAAGAGGAAATCATGGCTAGTCAGAAACTGCACAATGAGATACAGCATGAGAAATGACATACGTTTTGGGGCCCTAGTTCTAGGAAATCATTTCTACTAAATATCCTCAGAATGCAGAAGCTGAACACTTCTCAGTGACAAACACATTATATAAAAATCATAGCTGCATGTGGACGGTGTTTATAATTATACATACATACTTGAGGAAAACTGTACATATGTATTTGCTGAAAAGTATCAGCTACAGACTATAGTAAAAGTGGGAGATACAGAATGCTTTTCTCCTAGATTCTAAAAGCTGAACTGATGCTTTCAGAGTTACCTGTTATCAGGTTGGGTTCACACGGGCTGTCTACCTGAACATGATACAGATGAAAATTCTATCAGGCCTGGCCCACAGAGTCAACTGCCTTTTGTATTTAATAGACACAAAATATAATGGGAAAAAGTGGTGGAGTAAACGAGGCAAACTCAGTAACAAATTATCTTAGGTATTTTTCAGCCTGCACCAGAGAGGAAACAGATGAATACAAGAAAGTGAATAGAAGGCCGCATGGGCTTGACTACAACTAGAATATCATGATATACAAATGATATATAAAATCCATACTGAAAAGAAGAGGATTTAAATTCCATTTTAACATTACAAGCATTGTTCTTGCCAAAATATAAAATGCTTTTATCAATTCTACCTTAATAGAGCTTGGAAAAACAAATGTATATAAACCCTTACCTTTGCTTGCCTCTTGTTGGCTTCTCTTCTGGCTTCCCTTTCTTTCAGTCTTTTCTCCTGGAGACAAGGAAGAGGAGAAAAATTAGCAGCATATAATTGGGTATAAAACAGAGTACATATTCATTACAGTTTTATTCCCTAAAGCTAACTAATATGTGACATTCATTTTTCAACAAATATTTACTGACTATGGGATTGGCACAGGTATTCATGAATCATTAAGAATGTGTCAGACAGATCTGAAATCAAATCCCAGTTCTATCACTTACTCTGGCTATGCAATGGTTAGTACTGACTTTCAAATAAAACAAACACAAACAGGACAGGTAAAACATAATGTACGATTATACAAGAGACACATCCTAGTGATTACTTGGAGGTTCTAGAAACCAAGTTCAGTGGAAGGAAATGCAAAGGAGAAAAAATAAAAACTCAGAAAGCTTTTGGCTTGCTTATTATCAAAGAGCTTCTTTAGAAAATGACCGAACTCAAACCTGGGTCTTCATGTGCCAAATCTAGTGCTTTTTTGCGATACATTCTAATAAAAATAAAAATGTTAATATTTGGGGGTTAAACATTAACAGATGTGACTTTAAAAACAGAAGAAAATAATAACTAGTATTATTTTAGCAAGCAGCCAATTAATGCAATAGTGATTATCAAACTTTATCCCTGAATTGGTTCTCTAATGAGATTATAAGAGATGTTCTGCCACTAAATTAGAATAATCTCAATGCTTCCCCAAGTTGTGGGGAAAAATGATGGCAGTTTCTAAACAATTTGTTCCTAAATTAAGTTGGCACCAATCACAGGCTTTCTTTGAGCATTAGTAGACTACAAAATACATGAAAGAAGCAAAACAAGATTAAAGAAAAAATGTGATATAACTGATCATAATTAACACTTCATTTGAGCTGGCTTTAGCTTGTGGATACACGTATTTGTAACTTTATCTCCCTTCTCTTCCCACCCCACCCTCCATGCAGAGTTTTCCTGTGTTAGATATTCATGTTATTCTACGAAGACTGCACAGTGACTTGAGTGTTTTGCTGCTTACACTAATGTTAAGACTATAGCTATATAAAATATCAAGTAACTGCAGAGAGGAATAAAATTGCACTTTCATAAAAATTTATTTGTCCATTAGCACATTACTATGCTATTTTCTTACCAACAGAAATAGCTCAGAATTATTAAGTATCAACAATGTGCTAGGCATTTCATATAACAATTTGATTTTTTTATCTTTTTAAACCTATGTAACAGAACTTATAAGGTATTACTATTCCCATTCTGTAGATGAAAAATGGAAGATCAAAGTAACTAAGTAACTTGACTGATGTCACACATAGTAAGTGATGGACTTGGGATTAAACTGGGCCTGCGTAGCCGAAGTTCTCACTCCCTCAAATCTAGCACATCACTACACTTCATACTCCTCCACTGGAATACTGACTTCACTTTGTAGGTTCGTAGGTAGTATTTGTATCCGTATCAGCATGTTTTAGACAAATGTTGCCACTTCCTTTATCATTATAAATAGTCCGCTACCATACAGGTCTTTTCATCCTGATAGCATTTTTTATTTTCCTGACAGCATTTTATAGACATTAATTAATTTTTGTCAGTCTTCTGCACAGAAGAAACAGGTAACTGATCACATTTAAAAGCCATACAAATTTTTGTTGTAATTATTCAACAACTAGTCTTCTTTCAACACATCAGTGTCTGAAAATGGCACTTCAAAGTTGCAAAGAATAAATTCGATATATTCACATCAGAAAAATCCTTTCTACTCAAGCAAACATAACCATGCTGAGGTTTTCCATTTAGTCATTTTAATCATAGCAGAAAAAAATGGACAATTTTCTACTTTTACTGAATTCCAATATTAATTCATTATAGTCACTAAAAGATATTTTAAATTTCAGCTTTAAATTGGCTATCAGAATTTATATGTGCATGCAAATAAGATAATTTTCCCTTTTAAATTTTCTACCAAAATTTTCAGACAGATGAGATATCCAAAGACTTTTACAATATGAAGCAAATGTTACCAAGATATGAAACAAATGCACTAATGACAAATTTTTAATACTGAGTAAAACTAAAAGAAAATAATTTGAAGTGAATCATTAGAAAATGTTTCTTTCTTATCTGAAAAAGCTTTATTAGTACCCTGTCTGAAAAGAGCCAAGAGTAAACATCGAGAGAGAAGCAAAAAAACTGAAAGTAGATATGTCATAATTCAAAACTTAGAAAATGAATATATTCTTTGTGGGGGTAAGAAAAAAATATTTTAAAGACAGTTTATGACATATGACAAAACATAAAGATAAAAGGCTGGAATACAGTCACTTCAAGAGAAAAGTATAAGTGAATTTCATTAGATTCGGTAACTGAAGTCCTCCTCCCCTTTTCATTAGGTGTGGCTCAAATGCTTTAAATCCTTTATTTTTCCTATTTTGTTTTTGAGGACATCCTGGTACCAAAAACTATTTTATGCTACAAAAAAAGAAGGCAAAATGTTATCTTTAGTTCTGCCATGCTACAAATGATTAAGTATAAGGGGAGCATGAAATTCAATAATGAAAATCAAATTCACAAGGGACAGAAAAACAGAAAATCAAATTTCAAGGTATAAAATACTCCCTTTATAGATATTATATTTCTTTTGGATTCTCACACACTATAGGTCCTTAGCTTCCAGAAAAGAAAGTACCATGAAATATGAATTTCATGAGCAGTCAGGACTACGAATTTAAACTTTTTCATTCTAGGGTGATACTTGAAAATTTGTAATTTGAAAGTAAGACTCATTTTTGGAGGTTATGGAAGTATAATCCATTTGCATGACTCTCGGGTAACTGTGTCAGTTTGGTAAGGAACTGAGTCCCCAGCTACCACATAAGGAAGAAGGGGACATGTATCTTTACTTCAGTATTATAATAACCTATTTTTCAAAAAAGAAAACTGGCTTAACAAAAGTGAACAAAAGAAAGATCATGAGAATTGTTAAGTCCCAAAGATATCCCCTGCCTCTAAGAACAAAATTCCAGTAAACCTAAATCCTTGCCAGGAACTTAACACAACAAGGTTCTCTGATCTGTTACCTATTTTACAGAGTTTTGCTTGAACGACATTAAAAAGTGGACTTCTATGAATAAATCTGTAACAACTATAACAAGGATATGAAGACAGAATGAGAAAAACAAATTGATGTGGAAACACTGAATTCACTAGTTAAATCCTTTGAATATTTACCCAACCACATGGTAGGCTCTGGATACATATAATGGGCAAAACAGATATAGACCATTGCCCTTTGCAGTTTATAACTTAATCCTATCAGACTCCCTGATTCCACTGGCAGCAAACTGCTCCCTGCTCCTCAACCCCAATCTCTAACTACTCACCATCAACCTAATACCCAACCCACCTCTCCAACACCATATAGTTTAAAAAAAAAAAAAAAAAAAAAAAAAAAAAAAAAAAAAAAAAGCATGAAAATAGATCAGATTTATGTAATTCTGAATATTTATCTCATTTTTGATGCTGGATATAGAGCCCAAACACCAAGATATTGAGCTAAATGTCACTAGATGGTATAAGCTTGTGAGAGTAAGAACAGAAACCTCCCCAGGCAGACATCTCCAAATGGTAGGCAAAGATTCTGTAGTAACAGGTTGGCTTCCATTTTAATAATAAACCTGGTTGTGACAGTAGAAGGGCTGAAACTAGAAGGAAAAAGGGTTGTAATGAAAAGGATCTTGTATTCTCTTCTATAAATAAGCTTCATTCACAACATCCATTTTAGAATTAGGCACCAGATGCTGAGTCCCTTGTCCTCAAGATGACACTTCTGATCTTAGTAAAATTTCGTAAGGACCATGTGAGCCAGACCAGTCTCTGGTTCTCTTTCTTTAGACTCTTAAATGGCCATAGCTATGGAAAAATGGATTCGGGCACTAGTGTATGTACACATACAGCTATACAATGAACATTCAGGAAAAAGTGGTATTAGTATAGAGTCTTAAACTATACTACTAACCACAACATTAATTTATTCTTTTTTTTTTTTTTTTTTTTTGAGATGGAGTCTCGCTCTGTTTCCCAGGTTGGAGTGCAGTGGCAGGATCTCGACTCACTGCAAGCTCCGCCTCCTGGGTTTATGCCATTCTCCTGCCTCAGCCTCCTGAGTAGCTAGGATTACAGGTGCCTGCCACCACGCCCAGCTAATTTTTGTGTTTTTAGTAGAGACAGGGTTTCACCTTGTTAGCCAGGATGGTCCCAATCTCCTGACCTCGTGATCCACCCGCCTCGGCCTCCCAAAGTGCTGGGATTACAGGCGTAAGCCACCACGCTCGGCCTTAATTTATTTTTAATTTATTAGAGATCAATGACCTTGTTCTGGAAACATGAAAAATTTCCATTATTTGTCATTTCTTCTTCAATACCCTCTACTCTTATGATCATCCTCCACCTTTTACCTCATTGCTTCAGAGTTACTCTGCTATAAAAGAATGTCTGATGGCTTGACATAGGTAGCAACACAGCTGAACAGTTAAAAAGCATAAAGTCTGAACAGTAACAAAGACTCTGGTAAGAGTCCCAGGACTGCTGTTTGCAAGCTGCAGGGTTCTGGACACATTACCTGACCCTTCTAAGTCTTAGTTTTATAATCTGTAAAATGCTAGCTCACTGATTTCAGAAGTTAATTATTAGCATATAATATGATGGTACATGTAAACTTACTGCAGGGTCCAGTTAAGTAAGTGTTACTTGTTACTGTTAATATTCTTGTGGCTACTATTCCTCAGATGCCTGATTACAGTTTCCCTCTTTCTTGACTATCACACAAATTTATGGTTAAGTCGACTGGATTCCATGCCAACTTAATTATGTGTCAACAACAATAAAACAAGATAGATTTTCTAAAGTCTTCCTTTAATACTTTCCTAACTTTCTAACATTCAAGCTGGTAGTAAATGGAACATAGAGTAATGCTGTACCATCTCGGGAAGCAGTCCAGAGCCACATCTTGACATGTTTATGTT